GGGCGTGGAGCCTGCTTAAGTTTCTCTCCCTCTCTCCCTCTCCCCCTGACGCTCCCCCCCCAAAAAGATAATAATCTATTGGTGATAAGTTCCTCTTAGATTTAGAGCAAATCTCTGAACTAAAGTTTCTACAATATAACCACATTTTTAAAAGACAGGCAGATTTGGAAACATTTATAATGAAAGATTTATGAATGACCAATAAGCCTACAAAAAGATGCCCAGCATCACTAGTCATCAGGGATGTTTTTCCAAGACTAGTACTACTAAGCATTGGCAAGAACAGCTGGAACACTCGTCCGCTGCTGATGGGGGTGCAAAATCGTGTAGCAACTTTGGACAATACTTTGGCAGTTTCTTACACGATTAAACTATACACTCACCATACAACCCAGCAAACCCACGCCAATAGAACTGAAAACATATATACCCTAAGGACTTTTATATGAATTCTTTTATAGCAGCATTATTCATAATTCATAAATTCATACTTGAATAACAGCCCAAATGTCTATCAACTGATGAACAGAGAAAAAAAATGTGCTACAGCTATACAAGGAAATACTACTCAGCAATAAAAAGAAACAAAGGACCGATACATGCTACAACATGGATGAATCTCAAGAACATCATGCTAAATGAAAGAAACCAGACTCCAAAGCTACACACTGAATGGTTCCATGTACATGACATTTTGAAATCGCATGGGTGGTTATCTGGGGCCAGGAGTGAGGGAGAGGGTTGACTGCAGTTAGGCACAAGGGAATTTGGGGATGGTGCTGGAAATATCTTGGGTGTGCTGGTGCTTACACAACTACACAACAGCTAAAGTTAGGTGTTCAGATAGGTGAACTTTGTTGTATGCGACTTATGCCTTTTTTTTTTTTTTTAGATTTTATTTATTTGACAGAGAGAGACACAGCGAGAGAGGGAACACAAGCAGGGGGAATGGGAGAGGGAGAAGCAGGCTTCCCGCCGAGCAGGGAGCCCGATGCGGGGCTCGATCCCAGGACTCTGGGATCATGACCTGAGCCAAAGGCAGATGCTTAACAACTGAGCCACCCAGGCGCCCTGCGACTTATGCCTTAATAAAGCTGTTACAAAATTTTAAAACATGGACAGCAAATGACTTTATGCTTATCTCTTGTGATGGGATTTGGGTGCTTTTTATTTGCTTCTTGTTGCGCGTCTAAATGTGAAATTTCTACAATGATTATGGAGTGTTTGTGTCGAGAGAGAAAAAAACAGCAATAAAATGCCATAAACATAAATAATTGGGTTATTCCACAAGGAACCTATTGTCGATTCAACATTGTTTGCTTGTAATGAAGCCCATTTGGGTTACCTCCTTCTCATCTATCTTTCCTCAATGGCACTTCTCAGGGGTGAGCTGAGGAAACGGATGCAAAAAGGTACAGAGCTTAATAGCAATGCTTTTTTTGTCCACCCAGCTCTCGGTTTGGCTCTCACCTGGGTTTCTGGATGAATACACAGTACACTAATGATAGGGGGCTCTCGTCCTCCTTTGCCAGCTCAGCCCTCCATTCCAACCCAAATCAACTCATGCGTCTTCCAGGCCCCAAGAGAAGGTCCTCAGCATAGAGCCGGGCACATTGTGGTTCGTGGGGTCCAGGCCGGGCACCTGCCTCCAGCTCACGTTGGTCTGTTGAGTGCCGCATGGCCTTGGTGAAGTCAAGAGGCCATTCATCAGTGGAGACCCCTGCTTAGAATGACTGCTCGTGCTGCACATGGCAGGATGGGACACAGAGTCCCTCCAAGAGTCCTCCGAGGTGGGGGTGCTCAGTGTCAACAGGTCTCTGGCCCTTTTTACCCATCACACATCCAGTTCGTCTTCAGACTTTCCGCCTGTGAAAGGGCAGTCACCTTAGGAGACCCCACCAGCCCATAGGCGAAGGACGGCACATCAGGAGAAGTCTGCGTTGCTTACTGTGTGCCTTGGGATAGCTGGACAAGGCTCCTGACAGGGTCCAGGTGTTGCGACAGAGGATTCCAGTGAGGATAATAAAGCTATAGTTATAAAAATAACTTCATATCATCCCATGGAAGGATCATACAATTTTCTAGCCACTCTAGTGAAGAAGTAAAGCCCAGCGGAAGCTCAGAACAGTGGGGTCGGCACAGGGAAGTGAGAAGAATCACAGCTTTCCTTGACCTCGGCTTTGTCACCCATCAGTGCTGAGTTGGGAGAGATCCTGAGTTTCTAACCTGGGGTCTCTGTCCTTAGGGCCACACAGGCATTATTTTTAGGAACTACTTCCAATATCTTAAAACTCCACACATTATATTCACAATAATTAACATGAGGATGCAACCCAAATGTCCACCAATGGATGGATGGCTAAACCAAACGTGACATATAAATACAACATAATATTCACCCTTAAACAGAAGGAAAGTCTGGCATATTCTACAACACAGATAAACCGTGAACACGTTCTGCTCAGTGAAATAAGCCAGACACGAAAGGACAAATAATGTTTGATTCCACTTGTGTGAGGGACCTAGAGTAGTCAAGTTCATTGACACAGAAAGTAGAATGGTGGTTACCAGAAGCCTGGAGGAATGGGGAGTTAGTGTTCAATGGGTACACAGTTGCAGTGTGGGATGTTAAAAAAAATTCTGGAAAACTACAGTGGTGATAGTTACACACCAGTGTGAATGCATTTATGGCCACTGAACCATACACTTAGAAATGTTAACAATGGTGAGTTTTATGTTGTGTATATTTTAAAACATGCACAAAAAAAACAAAACATTCTACATATACCCGCAAGGCCTCACCCCTTCATGAAAGCATAAAGTCACGCTTGTTACCATTCAGATCGAATCTCTGAATGGGCAGGCATAGCCTTTGATTGATTTTTAAAAAGAAAAATAACAGCAAAATAGATGAATTATGACCTAGTACAGCTTTTTTGGCAGGCCCAATCTTTCAAAGCATGGCACCTTTCGGGGGAAATAAAACAAAGGGGCCTTGGTGGAAAGGTTGGCTGGGGTGAGCACTCTGGTCTCCCCGCACTATAAAGGCTGTGACTTTGTGGTTGGGAAGCCACGCTAAAGGAGAAACACACACCAGAGGAGAGACCAGACAGTGTCTCCGGACAGATCCAACCCAGCCAGAGGGACAAGCACTGGGGTTTGAGATGGCCCTTTCTCTGGCCAATTTTTAGAGCCTGGAGACAGTTCTTCACAAAAAGCAGCCGGAAACCCTCTGGCCTATGTGACACTTAACACAGAGCACCAGAAATGGGGCCGATAGGTGCACTAGCTAATGAGGGACAGGATGGCATACCCTCTCCGGAGACCCTCCTTCATCACCCCCAGATACCAGCACCGGGCTCTCGGGGGCCTGCTCAGTGCATGGGCAATGGATATTGTACACAGAACAGCTCAGTCTGGATATTACAAGAGTAGACACAAGAGACTCCCATTTCCCAGACTGACAGCTTGAAGGGATCCTAGCTCATGAGTGTTCTGGTTCACTGTCAGGCAGAAAACCTTTGTAGGAACTTCAGTTTGCTCCCCATTATGCCCAATCCACTTCCCTGAGGGGCAGGATGCAGTGTGGGAAGAAACCATCAGAAGACAAATTCTAATCCAAACCCTGCCCCTCTGTGGCCTGTGACCTTGGCCCCTTGCAGGCTCAGTTACTCGGTTTGTGGGACAGCAACAACCTCGTTCGCATGGATCTAATGAGACAGTGTCAGGGGACGTGTTCGGAGAACGTGCTGTACAACTGCTAGGGAAGTTTCGTCTGCGCCTACGTCCAGTACTTAAAGTGGAGTAAAACAGGGTTAAGTCATTGTGTGTCCCTTACAGAAACCATCAAGCCTCAGAGCTGCGTTGTCTGGCCTGACCCCTGGAAATAGTCATTTGCTATGCACAAAACATTCTAGCAACATTATGTTTTCTATAGAGAGGAGGGGGGAAATGTCCAGTGAACTTCAGATTATCGGGGCCATGCAGGGATCACTGAGGCAATCCCGTTTCCTCCCACCTCACGGAGAGAAGCCTCATTTCTTCAAGGTGATGCAGGTGTACTGGGTGAGAGCTAGAGAAAACCAAGGGCCTCCTGGTCTCCACCCCTTTTCAGAGGACAGGAGCGATCTGTACCAGGGAGGGGTTTAGAGGTTGGCTTCCAGGAGGCCCCCAGGGCACCTGAGCTCTGATTGGCCTACCCCCCTTCCCAGGCCTGGGGGAACAGGGATGCGAGGCCTTGGGAAGGCTTTGTGCTCGCAAGCAGCTCCAGTGGGCTGATGTATTTCCAGAGGCGGAAAGTAGGTACTGTGCCTTCCCTTCCTCCTGTCCGGGAATAAATAAACGGACGCCTCCACGTGGCCTGACAGCCACCTGTCACCTTGTAAGTTCTCGCCTAGGCCTGGGTGATGGCAGTGGGCCCTATGAGGAGAGGAGGGAAGACACCACCCCTTCCTCTTTCCTTGGGGCTCGGATCCAAAGGGCAAGACCCAGAGCATCTGCAACAGACACTCCCTGTGCAGCTGCTTAGACGTGATGTCCCGTTGCAGGACTCTGGGAAGAAGAGAATGGTCCAGGGCGCCTGGGTGGCTCAGTTGGTTAAGCGACTGCCTTCGGCTCAGGTCATGATCCTGGAGTCCCGGGATCGAGTCCCGCATCGGGCTCCCTACTCGGCAGGGAGTCTGCTTCTCCCTCTGACCCTCCCCCCTCTCATGCTCTCTGTCTCTCATTCTCTCTGTCTCAAATAAATAAATAAAATCTTTAAAAAAAAAAAAAAGAAGAGAATGGTCCAGAACCCCTCTCAGAACAAACCTACGGGGAGTTGGCAGGAGGGGCCCAGCGTGTTCTCCCAGGAGAGGGTGAAGCAAAAGGGACTCGGGTAATACAGAAGGGACTCCAGGACACCGGACACAAAGCATCACATGGACAGGACAGCTTTGCTCGTTGCTCCTTCCCAGCGGCGTCACTACGATTTACCCATTTCGCTGTGTCCCACCTTACAGGGTCCTTCTGGAGACAGCCGGAGCTGTCCATACAACCCTGGCATCAGGCTCCTGGGCGACGTCCAGCTGAGAGACCAGGCGAGCCACACCTCCTCTCGGTCCTCAGTTTCGCATCTGTAGAAGGGGGACAAAGAGGACCTACTCCCAAAGCATTGTGAGGATTCAGCCAGACGGTGGGTGCGGAGTTGGCCACACGAGGAAGGGTTTGGTGGCAAGTGGGCCCCCCTCCAAGGGGAAAGGCAGTAGAGTAGAGACCTCCCGCGGAGCCACCGCCCTGTGGGGGGAGGAAGGCACGTGGCACCGCCTTCTCCCACCACACCTGGCTGCTACCCTGTCGCGGTGTCCCACGTCCCGTCGGGCCCCCCACGCCAGGGTCCCCCCGGGGTCAAGGGCCCGCCCTCCCCGTCCCAGTCAGCTACCCCACGCCGGTATGGTGAGGGGCAGGGGGCCGCAGCCAGCACCCTCCCCGGCCAAGCCGTGGTGGGCCACCCGGGCCCCGCGCAGCGGGAGGCGGCCGGGCCGGGGCGCCCCGCTGCCCTGGCCGGACTCGGAGGGCAGGCCCGAGTCGCTGGGCTGCCCCTGCACGGAGACCGGGGCGCGCAGGAGCCCGCCGGGCGGCTCGGAGGAGGCCTCCCTGGGCCCGGCCCACTGCGGCGGGCAGAGCGGCGCGCGGAAGGCGGCCTGGAAGCCGCGGCGGAAGTTCTCGTTGAAGTAGCCGTAGATGACGGGGTTGGCGCTGCTGTTGAAGAAGGCCAGCCAGTGCGCCAGGGGGAAGGCGTAGACGGTGACCAGCTGCAGCTGCGGCTCGCTGAGCTGGCCGTAGTCGGTGAGCAGCAGCAGCGCCCAGAGCGGCAGCCAGGACAGCGTGAAGACCAGCGCCACCATGACCAGCATGTGCACCACGCGGGCCCGCCGCCGGGCCCCCCGCCGGCCCTCCCGCGCCGCGTCCCCACCCGGCCGCGCGGGCCCCGACGCCTTGCAGAGCTTGCGGGCGATGCGCGCGTACAGGAGCACGATGAGCGCCAGGGGCGCCAGGTAGACGTGCGAGAAGAGCACGGTGGTGTAGACCCTGCGCATGCCCTTCTCGGGCCAGGCCTCCCAGCACGAGTAGAGCGGGTAGGAGCGGTTGCGGGCGTCCACCATGAAGTGGTGCTCCTCGCGCGTGACGGTCAGCGTGACGGCCGAGGGGCACATGATGAGCAAGGCCAGGGCCCAGATGACCGCGATGGTGACCAGCGCCTCGCGCAGGGTCAGCTTCTCGCGGAGAGGGTGCACGATGCAGCGGAACCTGCGGCCGGGGGAGGAAAGACAAGCGGGCTGGGCACCGGCCCCGGGCGGTCCCTGTCCCCGGGGAGGAGAGCTACCCCTGGTGGGGGCTGGCGGGGTGTGGGCACCGGGGGCACCTTCCAAGAGTAGCGCAGGCAGTTTAGGGTCGTCCGCAAGCAAATTGGTTCTCACCTGCGAGGGAGTCAGTAGCCGGGGAACAAAGGCAAAACCAGGAGGGGGGACGTGGGGAGGAACGGGGGCAGCGTGGGAAACGTTCGTGTCTGGGCACTTCGGGGGGGCATAAACTGATTAGCTGGCAGCTAGCAAAGGGATCAGTCTGCACCTTCTGTCCTGGAGTAGGCTAATTAGGAAGGCGTATCAAAGAAAAGTTTTAGCTGTTTAGGGATTCTCCCGAAAACCCTGGGAGTTCAGGGGCGGACTCTACGTGATAGGCTGTCCCTATGTCGTCTTGGCTAGCATCCTTGCCTGCCCCCCATGCTCTGGGGGAGAATGCCCAGATGAGCCCTTAGTGCAAAAGCTTACTGAGGTGGGGGAGGGGAAGAGGACCTATCGCATGCATTTGGGTTAGTTTTACTGTGTGCAAAGCTTCCTTGGCCCCTGGCTCTATTCCATTTGCCAACTCATGCTTATCAGAGAATCTGATGGAATCTGAGGCGGAAAGAGACCTGAAGTAGCTTGAGGTAGGGTGGAGATGGAGGGCTAGTAAGGCTTGGGCTGCCAGAGAACAGCAAGGAGCCTGCAGGTGGGGGTTGGGAGGAGTGGGGAGGGGGGTGGGTAGTGAAGGAGCAGGGTCACACTCTGATTCCCCCCCCCCCCCCAAATTGGCTTTCCTTGCTCAGACTCATGGGTAGCAGGATGCCTACTGTTCAGGAAACAAGGACTGCCCTCAAGCTCCCACAGGACCCAGGAATCCCTAGTAAACCTTCACAGGAGCTGCCTCCAGGCCTTCTAGACGAAGGTCGAGGTATTCTCTGCAGGCGCCCCAAGTGCAGAGGGCAGCTAGCCCCCAGCCCTTCCCTTTATGGCTCCTGATTCAGCCTCAGCCTTCTGGTCAGTGCGACAGTGGTGACGGTAACTCTTCCTCGTGCCGAGCCCCTGTCGGCCAAGGAGAACCCAGCCAGGAGCCCTCTCACCTTTCCACGGCAATGGCCACCAGTGTGAACACGGAAGCCGACACGGACATGCCCTGCACCAAGCCACTCATCTTGCACGTGGCGTTGTCAAAGGGCCACCCTGCAATGACAGAGTCCACCATAGAATGAGTGCCTCATCCACGAAGAGCCGGAGACCTTGGGTCATTTAGGCCAGTCCCCTCTGTGGCTCGGATCTTTCCTCCATGTCCTGCCAGGTGGTCATCCTCTGCTTACACACTTCCAGAAATGACGAACTGACCAGTCTACACCACTGCGGTCAGTTCTCACCGTTAGAGAAACCGTCTTTATATTGACCAAGGATTTCTCTCCAGGACCTTTGTATCCAGCCAGATCTGCCCGGCTTTCTGCTCCCATAGCCCTGCCTCAAGGTCTAGGCCAACAGTTCTCAACCCTGGCCACTCACTAGAATCACCTGAGGGCTTTGAAAAGAGCCAGTGCCCTGAGCCATGCCAGATCAATTACAGTCAGCATCTCTGGGGGTGGGACCAGACATCAGTACTTTTCAGATCCACCCCAGGGGATCTGAGTGGCAGCCAGAGCTGAGAACCACTGGGACAGAGCGAGCCTGACTCCCAGGTCGAGGAGACACAAGCAGCCCCAGCCCCTCCCGTGTCTCTCTCTGATTCCCAGGCTTCTGCTCTGTCCAGAGGCCGGGGCCCCACTTGGCCTCAGGACTGGTAGCTGGATCCACATCTTGGTTCCTTGAGGCCATGCGTTGGTCACTGCCTGGTGTCTCTGCCCCTCTAGGTCTGGGGGTCCCATCTGTTCTCGTCTGTTGTACTTGGCTCAGGAGCCCTCTCCCAGGGCTGGGCCCCCTCTTCCCCAGCAGCCACCCCTAGCGACCTTTCTGCCTGCACGCTTACTGAGTGCCAGGCATTGTCTCGTTCCATCCTCCCAACAACCCTAATGTGATCTCCTGTTCACAGATGAGAAAGCTGAGGGGAGGTGAGTTGGTTTCCAGTCTCTGTGCCCCTAAATCACAATGGGGGAGTGTGAGAGTTTGGTGTGGGTGCTGGGGAGTTTAAATATCATGGAAAGCCAACATCACCATGGCAACCAGCCTGATTCTGTTTTGGAAAACTGGGTATGTGCAAATTCCCTGATTCGGCAAGTCCTCTCCCAAGTTCATGTCCCAGAGACATTCCCCCATACTCCAGTTGTTTGTAGTGCTGGAGAGTGGGAGGCAGTGGTGTGCTGGTAAATCAGCTCTTAAAAAAAAAAAAATTAAATTAAAAAACCCCTCTAATTTATAGCATTTGCCAAATCCAGTATCTCCCCACATGGCAACGTTTCTACTCCCGCCATGACATCACTGACACAGGCAGGCTGGCTCGCACACACCGCTGTGCAGAGGCCACCTGGGTGTCCATCCCTGGGGGACCAGAGGGTAAAATGTGGTGGATGCACCCCGAGGAGCAGAGCGGCAGCCCTTAGCGGCCTCAGGTGAGATGTATGCAGGGCGACGTAAATAGAAGCCCAGTGACAAAGGTCAGGGTCCCAGGGTCCCGGGATCGAGCCCCGCATCAGGTTCCCTGCTTAGCAGGGAGCCTGCTTCTCCCTCTTCTACTCCCCCTGCTTGTGTTCCTGCTCCCGCTGTGTCTCTCTCTGTCAAATAAATAAGTAAAATCTTAAAAAAAAAAAAAAAAAAAAGAATAGCCAGGAAAGCCAACAGATCCACAAGAATAGCCAGGAAAACCCCAACCCAGAAAAACAAGGGAGTGGTTGGGGGGGATGACATTGTTCTTTATCTTGATTGTGGTGGTAGCTCCATGACTGTGTGTGTCCCTCAACACCTGTGGAAGGGTACACTAAAAAAAGGAGGATTTTTGTGCATATTAAATTGTACCTGGACAAAAATATTTCAATGTAAAACATGCACACATTTGCGATGCACTTTTTGTAAGAAGGCATACAAGTGAAAAGATACAGGCTATGTTTAGTAGAATGTTCGCCTATTGGGCGGGGAAGGGACTAGGTAGTGGGGTAGGGCCACAGAAGGGAAGGAATAAAAAATAAACGGGGGTCTTTGTAACACAGTGAAGTCACATAGCGCCAGGAGCAGCAGATGTAAATAATTCAACCCTCAGCATCTTCACTCCAAAAAAAAAAAAAAAAGAAAAGGAAAGAAAAGAAAAGCTGAATGAAGGTTTGTTCTATTGCAGAAGATTCTGTTAAAAACAACCTAGATACCCATCAGAAAGAGACTGGCTAAATAAATTATAGTACATCCATATAATGGAATGCTAAGCAGTTGCAAAAAAGAATGAAAAATGCTTCTATTTATTAATATGGAATAACTGCATGTAAATTAATTTTAACGAATCCTACTTACGATATACACTCTATATTTTGAAGCCGAAAAAGAAAGTGAAGATGCAGAACTGACTGCTTGGAAAGTCAGCATGTCCTTAATTCGCTTGTTCTTGCATAAAAATACTTTCAGAAAGAGACACAAGAAATTGGCAATATTGATTTCCTCCCAGGAGAGAAGCTGGGAGGCCAGAGGACAGGGATGGAAGGGACATTTTTCACTGGAAACCTTTTGGTAGTTTTTGACGATTGCCATGTGAATGTGTTCTTCCAACCATTTTTTTTAATTTAGGCACGTGGAAAGGGCTGGCAGACACCACCTTAACCAACTAGTGACTTCGCCATGTCATTGTTAACCGGTGAATGTGTATGAGCGTGCGGCTAGGTGTGTGCACTTTTGCGCGTGTGTGTGTGTGTGCACACGTATGTGTGGGTCTAGGTGTGCTGGGAAGGAGAAGGATGAGCAGTTTATGTTCAGCAGCGCTGGCGGAACCTGAGATCCAGCTGTGAGCGAAGGTCCCACCAGACAGAGCCAGGGCAGCCGAGGGAAAGCTGACTGTCCTGGCTCTACTTCCTGGGTCCTGAAACTTATAGAAACACCCTTCCACCATTTGTGGGATGAACAGGCAGGAATGTGGAGGTCAGGTGGTCTCGTTCTGCTTGAATCCCTTCTACCAAGTCACTGCTAAATGGCCAGGCAGTCCCTACGTAGACACTCCCGGTGACAGGGAGCTCACTACCTGTAGGGCAGAACTCTCTTTGGTTGGAGAACAACTCAAATAAGTGGATTATTAGGTCCACATTCAGAGGAAACCTGTGGGTTCTAGCTCTGCCCAGGGCAGCTACCCAGGAAAGTAAGACTGAATGGTGTAGTGGTTAGAAATCTGGGTGTGAAGACATGGGACTTGACACTTAGCTGTGTAACTACAGACCTGTCCCTCATCACTCTGAGCATCGGTTTCCCCAACCCCCCAAATCAGGATAATAATAACAACGCATAATTCATTGGATCGTTGTGAGGATTGGATAAGTTAATGCAGGCAGAGTAAGTCATACAATGCCTAGATGAAGAGAATAATTAATTCATTGTTTCTATTATTTCTAGCCTAATCCCTCAGCCACAAGACTGTCTGGAGAGTCTGAGACAATGGCATCTTGGCCAAGAGACCAGGCCAGCAATGATTTCGGGAAGGTGGGGGAGGGGACTCCCACTGCCTCCATTGCCTCCACTCACCAGTGATGAGGTTGTCCACGAGCGTAGTGGGCATGCAGAAGATGCCCACCAGCAGGTCGCTGACGGCCAGGTTGAGGATGAACATGTTGGTGACAGTGCGCATGTGACGGTTCTTGAGCACAGTGAAGCAGACCAGGGCATTGCCCACCATGCAGAGGAGGAATATGAGCGCGTAGGCCACAACGAACATGGCTGCCACTGGGGAGGAGTGCTGGTAGTAGGAGGAGAAGGTGAGGTTTACAGCTGGGGTGGCCTTGGCAGGAGTCCCATTCAGGCTTGGGGGCCAGCTGCTGTTGGAAGGGTGGGAGGGCTCCCCTAGAAGCAAAGGAGGATACAGGTCAGGATCCCAGGCAAAGAAGAGATGGCTGACTTCTTGCCACCGGTGAGACCCTTTTGTCCTCCAAATCCTGGCCATGACCTAGCACCCCGATCAGGTGCTCAACTCCAATGGCAACTGCATGCACTTCCAACCCACAGCACGCAAACCTTGATCTCACACCTTCATCTCGCCTCGTCCAGAACTCATTTCCCAATGTTGGCTCTTCTCCATTCGCATATGGCCCACCCCCCTGCCCCATCTGGGCTCCATCCTTCTGAGCCCTGCTGTCTGCCCCAGAGGCTGCCCTCTAAGGACTCCGTCGGCCGGGTTCCCTTGCCCTCTGTTTTCTGACCAGGTTCAGCCAATGGAAAGCACTGAAGGAGATTGAAGGACTGGAGAAGACAGATGTCAGGGTATTCATCTCCCGACTCCCTCCCTGCCTGGCCCAGTTCTGCCTGTGGGGCTGTCTTTACGGATACAGCTCCTGTTAGGTGACCCTATTCCACGACTCTAGCTCTTTGGGGGCCAGAGTGACAGTGTTCTCTCTTTGCCCCAACAGCTTCCTGTGATTGCCAGTCCCATGGCTTATCCATCCCTTGCTGGTTCTCACCCTCCCCTCTCCCCTGTAAAGTCCCTCTATTAAACTCTTCAGATAAATGCTTTCTTTCTTTTTTTTTTTTTTAAAGATTTTATTTATTTATTTGAGACAGAGAGAATGAGAGAGAGAGAGCACATGAGAGGGGGGAGGGTCAGAGGCAGAAGCAGGCTCCCTGCCGAGCAGGGAGCCCGATGCGGGACTTGATCCAGGGACTCCAGGATCTGACCTGAGCCGAAGGCAGTCGCTTAACCAACTGAGCCACCCAGGCGCCCCAGATAAATGCTTTCTGAGTGCACCATCTGTTTTCTCCTGAAATAGTCTCCTGACCATTATACCCTCCAGATGCTTGTTTTCCCTCCTCATCTCCTCCACAGAACTTTAGCTGGAAAAGGCAAGAAGGCAATAGAGGAAGGGACAATGGAAGAGGACTCTGAACCAGGGTAAGGAGTAAAGGCATACATTAAACTTACCAGAAGACCATCCAAAGCCAAGGCTACCATGCATCCATCACTCTCTCCCATCATGGTATCAGCTGCTTCATTTGCCCAGCATTTAACAAAGCACTTGCACATGCATTAGTTTATCTAACCCTCCCAATTACCCCCTGAAGCAAACATGTTAGGTATGAGCCCCGTTTGAAATGGGAGAACTGAGAGCAGAGGGGTTCTGTGACATTCTCCAGGTGGCTCGGGGGTATGCCACAGAGGTGGTCCCGCTCTGCATGTCTCTGAATCAGAGCCCAGCTTTAGCGTGTGCTTTCCCAGCCACCTGTGGGAAGGAGCAGTTCCGTGTCCAACCACAGCTCCTCTGGGAAGCCATTAGATGTGGTGACTCATGATGTTGTCTCATAAACTCTCCTCCTGCCTTCCTCTGGGACTGGATGTGGCCTGTTCCAGGCGATGAAGAGTCTTTGGGGAGTCTTGTGTTGCATCCAGAGCTCAGCCACTAGCCTGGAGACCCACCAGAGGTTTGGGATCTGGAGGCTAGAGACGCTCTGGGACCAAGGAGCTGGCATGACCAGGGCTGGAGGGCCCATCAGGAGCAGCAGGGGCACTGGGGGCAGGCGGAGGGCCTGCTGGTAGAGGTGGAGATGCTGGGTGTTCTGGGTGAGAGGAGGAGGTGACAGCCCCCTGCTTAGGCGCTCCCAGGCGTCCAGTTGCCCCCAAACATCTGTACTATGGAAGATGTCAAACATGCACTAGACAGAACGGTATCGTGGACAGATACAAGAGTATACAGCTTAATGAACTATTACAAGAGAGAAGAGTACAAAGACCTCCCGTGCATACATCCTCCACCTTCAGCAATGATCAACCTAAGGCTAACCTGGTTTTACCCACACCCCCACCTCTCTTTGGAATAGCACATCACTTCCTTTCATTCATAAACATTTCAGTTCGGATCGCTAAAAGATAGGACTAAAAAAGCCCTCATGTAACCACAGTATCAGTATTACACATAACAAAATTGACAATTATGTGTAATATTACCAATTACCCAGCATCTGCATTCAAATTCCCTGATGATTAGATAATTTTTTAAAAGGTTGTTTGTTTATTTATTTATAGTAATCTCCATACCCAGCGTGGGGCTCGAACTCATGACCTGAGATCAAGAGTCCCATGCTCTTCCGATGGAGCTGATCCCATTAGCATTCACCAATGCTTTGGGCAGCAGCCCCTAAGGATTACTGCCTAGACCCCTCATTGTCTTCCAAATACAATCCAAACTCTATCCTCGGCCTCCCAAACGCCCTGTGCTCTGATTCCTGCTACCATCTCTGACCTCACCCCCTGCCACACGCCCGTTTGCCCGTTCTGCTCTGGACACCTTGCACTAGCTCCTGCTTTCTCCAACCCCAAGGATTTTCCCCCTTTCTATGGCTCCTGTCTCCTCCTCCCCTTTAGCCCTCAGCTTAGACTAGGCTGTCTTCTCAGAGAGAAGCCTGACCCAGTCGCTCTATTTCAAGTAGGTGCCCTCCTATTTATTATCTCTCACAGCATCTTCTTTCTTTTCCTCCATCTGTCAATATTTTGTTTTCAGGTTGGTTGGGTTTTCTTGCCCACGCTTGAAAGGCAGGTCCTGAAGAGCAGTTGGCAGCCGAATCCCCAGCGTCTCATCAGTGCCTGCCCATAGTCAATGGTTCAATAAATGGTTGGTGGATGGATAAGTATTTGTGTGAAGGGAAAAAGGAAGGAAAGGCGGACTGTGACACCAGGGGACAGGGTGACATTGCTGGTGTTGGAAGGCCTTCACAAGCTCCTCTGGAAGGAACCCCACCCCGGGTTCTGTTGGGAGCCTCCCCCGGCAGCTCACCCCTCCTGAGCCCCAGATAAGCTCTGAATCAGTCCCCATGACTCAAAAAAATCTGTGGATGTGCATGGGTAGAGGAAATTGCCACAACCTGTCCAGCCAGACTCCAGTCGGTCTGTCCTTGCCCTTCACTTGGCCTCAGAGAACTGCTTAGTGAGCTCACATTCAGCAGTCTGTCCTGAGAAATACCCAGGTATGACACTGCCCATCTCTAGACCCTCCGCTGGGCTGGGTGCCTGTCCCCACCCTCAGTGCCGATTCTAACACTGCAGAATGTTCCCTTCTCAGGGAGGATTCTTGGCAACTCCCCTGGGTTGGGGTGAAGTGAGTTGAGAGCAGGCAGGCCTCCCCGCCCTAGCTGAGCCATACGAGCTGCCAGAGACGTCATTAACACCCTGGACCTGTTCTTTCTGGACAAGTGCCCTTGTGCATACATTAAAGCCTGTGAAAATCTTATCCACTGAACCTAATGAAGTCATTCCCCTACTCTGGGAGCTTCCTGGAGGTCTCAGGATACAATCATGGTTGCCTCCAAGGCCTTCTGATGATCTCAGAGAGCAAGCAAGCCCTGGGCCACGGAAAGCCCAGGACCAGAAAGAAGATGGGGGTACACTGGTTCTCAGTGTGAGGTCCTGCCCAGCAGCATCAGCATTACGAACTTGTTAAAAATGCACATTCTCAGGACTCACCTCTGATCTAGGGAACCGGACCCCCAGTTATTTTAACACACCCTCCCGGTGATTCTGGTGGCGCACTCCAGTTTGAGAACCTCAGATTTAAAGGGCTTGGACCAAAGGCTCTGGAAATACTGGACACACACAGACTGGGAAGTCCCAGCCCTCCTTCCTGCCTCCTTCCTGGTGACTTCAGGCGACAGACTGAATATCTGTGTCCCCTCAAGATTCACAAATGGAAATCTAATCCCCAGGGGGTGGTATTTGGAGATGGAACCTTTCGGGCGAGATTGGATTCCACTGGCGAGCTCTCATGAATGGAATTAGTGTCTTTATGGAAGAGACCCCAGTGAGCTCTCTCGTCCGTCCCCTTCCGCGTGCGGGGACACAGCCGAAGGAGGGCTTTTGTGTAAACCAGGAGGTGGGGCCTCACCAGACGTCAAATCTGCGCCTTGACCGTAGACCACCCAGCCTCCAGAACTGTGAGAAATAGGTTTCTGTTGTTTCTAAGCCCCCCTACCCACCACCATGGTGTTTTGTTACAGCAGCCGCGGTGGACTGAAACGCCGCCTCATCTTGAGAGTGGAAACACGCAATTCCTGGCCAGGACCTAGCATAAGGCACGTCCCCTCTCTGGAAACCAGAGTTTTCACTGGTAAGATGGGGATAAGCTCACACGGACCGAAAGGAGGTGCGGTGAGAGCCAAGGAGATAATGGGGGAGAGGACCTTGGTGCACCATGCGTGTCAGCTCCTAACCAACGGTACTGACAGTGTTAACTACACAGAGGATGTGAGGATGACATCTTTATGATGTTCTTGGTCTGGGCCTCCCCGCCAAGGCTGAAAGACGTGTGAGAGAGAAAACAACACCAAAATGAACGCTTGAGCACAGAACCAGGCTGGGTATTTGTTTCCCTGAGTTCACAGTAATCCCCACTAATAAAGTCATCGTTGTCGCCACCTGCCGGTCCGTCCTGGTACCACAGGGAGCTTCGAGCCCGACTAGAGACCCGGGGTCACCTTTCCACAGCCACTTCCTGAAAGCCTCCTGGGGGAACTCGACCTGGGCGGAGAGGCGCTAGGGACCTGCTGAAGAATACAACACAAAACA